GTTGACCAGGATGGTCTCGATCTCTTGACCTCGTGATCCACCCGCCTCGGCCTCCCAAAGTGCTGGGATTACAGGTGTGAGCCACCGCGCCCGGTGAATTATATCTTTTTCACATTTACATGTACCCCCAGGATTTTATAAGTTCTGATCATGACCATTGTTAGCTAAAATCTCTAAGCTTTGAAAAGAGTTATCTTCATATTTTGAAAAATAGCCCAGATAGACCCTTCTTAACTTCTAATTTCTTTGTGCCTTTTGTGAAATGTGATGACCTGAACTATACTGGTTCTCTGTGTTAAAAGTTTGGACAAATTGACTGTTTTATTATAAGTATTTAGATATGTATAATATTTAGATTATTTTATATTGCTATACTTTTTATAAATACCCTTTCTTGAGGTCATGAGCATATTTTCGCCTGTAGTAGCGCATTGAGTTAATTAAATCCCTCACTGGAGACATTACATTATAAATCTGGCTTTGGATTGTTTTCCTTCTAAGTTATTACTCTACTGGTTGTATGGAGTCACATTTGTCATTTTCTTATAGCTGTTCTTCTGCATTCTTTTGGCATTTGCAGTATAATTTCTAAACACCTAACATTTTACTGCTTGTTTAAAATCATCTGCAGGTTTGGAAATTTTACCGTGTACCTTATTCAGATTAGTGCTAAAACCATGAAATGAAAGAAGTCCCTTTAACGATGTCTTGGGAATCCAACTCTTTTATCTTCTTGTTTTGAAATATGCCTATTTTGGCCAAGCGCAGTAGCGTACACCTTTGTAATCCCAGCATTTTGGGAGGCCAAGGCAGGTGGATCACCTGATTCGAGACCAACCTGGCCAACATGGTGAAACCCTGTCTCTACTAAAGATACAAAAATTAGCCTGGCATGATGGCACACGCCTATATTCCTAGCTACTCGTAAGGCTGAGGCAGGAGAATCGATTGAACCTGGGAGGCAGAAATTGCAATGACCTGAGATTGTGCCACTGCACTCCAGCCTGGGTGACAGAACAAGACTCCATCTCAAAAAAAAAAAGAAAGAAAGAAAGATGTCTACTTATTCCTACCCTTTATTTGATAGACAGTTTATATGAATAAAGTTTGTTTTTAGAAGTAGTGTTTTAAGGTAAGACATAGAGAAAATTTAACTTTATCTTTCCTTGGGAATAGTGATAGTTAGACCTCTTTAAAAATCTGACGAAAGCAGTTCTGTTACTCCTTTCCCCACCAAAATGAGCACATAAACAAAAGTTTTGCATATTACTCAGAGGAATTCATGTATCCATTGCAGTTTACCCATATAACCCATGTTCAGAACCCTTCATTTATACCTGTTTTTGTTTCCCTTCACATTTCAGGAAATCCCCTCAGAATGGCACATTGAACTGATGCTAGACAGAGGGATACCAGTGGAGGTGTGGGCACATTATGTGGAAGAGCTCAACACTACCCAGAGGGTGGCCGTGGAGGACTCTGTTTTACTTGTATTTTCCCTGAAAAATTTTATGTATACACTGAAAGCTCCTAAGTCTTTTCCTAAAGGTAAGACACAAGCTGTGAATCTTTTAAATGTGATACTCTACAAAACTGAATGATTGACTCCACAGCGATTGTTTGTCTTGAATAAAAAGCTTCTGGCCTGTTCATGTAGGGTTGTGTGTCCTTTCTCTTTCCATGTCCATGTAGGTGACATATGGTGGAATCCTGAGCAACTGAAAGAAGACAGCAGGGACTATCTGCACCTGCTTATGGGACTCTTTGAGATGATGCTCAGTGGTGCCGACGCTGTTCATTTCAGGGTTCTGATGAAACTTTTCATAAAGGTATAAGGCTCATCCTTTCCAGGCGTACCGTACTCTTAAAGAAGATATGACTGGCTGAGTGCAGTGGCTCATGCCTGTAATCCCAGCAATTTGGGAGGCCGAGACGGGTGGATCACTTGAGGTCAGGATTTTGAGACCAGCCTGGCCAACATGGTAAAACCCCGTCTCTACTAAAAAATACAAAAATTAGTTGGGCGTGGTGGCAGTCACCTGTAATCGCAGCTACTCGGTAGGCTGAGGCAGCAGAGTCACTTGAACTCGGGAGGTGGAGGCTGCAGTGAGCCAAGATTGCACCACTGCACTCCAGCCTGGGTGACAGAGTAAGACTCTGTCTCAAAATAAAAAAAGAAGATACTGTGGGTTGAGTTTGGACAGTTTATAATGAAAACGAAAGTAGACTTGTAAACAATGAAGCGTATATAATAGTAAGCACGGGCCCTGTAAAAGAGTGCTACATTACAGTGTTCATCGGCAGGTTGAACAGAAACTAACATTGCTACACTCCTACTAACATGTTAGGCCCATTACTATGTTTAAAAATCACAACAGTCCAGTCTTTTTGATTGGTTAATATCATTTAAAAATGAATACTGATGTTCAGAGAGGTTATTTAGCACATGTGAAGTTACTCAGGAAATTTCAGCCCCAGTACCAGTGACCTCCATGTTGCTGGGCCCAGTGATCAGTTGCTGTTCTTGTCTGACTTGTTCTCTCGACAGCATTTGACATTGAGTTAGCATTGTTCACCACATTGTTGAAGTATTTTCTTAATTAGGCATCCCAGATACCACTCTTGTCTTGGTTCTCAGTGTTTTCAAGTGCAAGGTTAAGAGTCAAGCTTTGGAATATCAGTCTTCATTGACATTTTTGCCAGTTGTTTAAAACATGAAATATAGAATAATTTGAAATAATTAGACAGAGCAAAACATTGCATTACATTATTTGTTTCTTTCTAATTGTACACTAGTCAAAAGAGGGTTTGGAACCAACTTATTTGAGTAAGAATTAAAACTTTACTATCTTTTTTTTGTAATTAGGTACATCTACAAGATATTTTTCAGTTATTCAAGTTTTTTTCTGTTTTATGGACCTATGGTTCTAGCCTTTCAAATCCACTTAACTGCAATGTGAAAACAGCGCTGCAGACTCAAGCTCTTTATGTGGGCTGTGCAATGCTCTCTTCTCAGAAGACACAGTGTAAACACCAACTGGCATCCATATCTTCTCCAGGTACTAAAAGTAGCATTGTTATGTTTTGTCATGACCAACTGTTCATGCTTTCTCTGTATGATTTATGTAGTTTAGAAAATTATAACTTAAAAAGAAAATAGCAGAGGCCAGGCGAGGTGGATCACAAGGCCAGGATATTGAGACCATTCTGGTAAACATAGTACAACCCGGTCTCTGTTAAAAATGTAAAAATTAGCTGGGCCTGGTGGCGTGTGCCTGTAATCCCAGCTACTCCAGGAGGCTCAGGCAGGAGAATCACTTGAACCAGAGAGTTGAAGGTTGCCGTGAGCTGGGATTGCGCCACTGCACTCCAGCCTGCCAACAGAGTAAGATTCTGTCTCAAAAAATATATGTATATGTAACTATATAGGCCAGACTAGATGGCTCATACCAATAGTCTCAGCACTTTGGGAGGCTAAGGCAGGAAGATCACTTCAGGCCAAGAGTTTGAGACTAGCTTGGACAATGTGATGAGATCCTGCCTCTACAATAAATACAAAATTTAGCTGGGCGTGGTAGCTACTCAGGTGCCTGAGGTAGAAAAATGGCTTGAGCCCGGGAGGTCAAAGCTGCAGTGAGCTGTGATCATACCACTGCACTCCAAACTGGGCAACAGAGCGAGAGACCCTGTCTCAATTAAAAAAACAAAACAAAACAAAAAAAGCTGTACGTCTATACATATTTCTGTTTACTTCTAAGTATTGCATGGCACTCACAAAAGCTCACCAAACTCAAAAGTTTAATAATAGAAATATCTTTAATTATATGAGTTCTTAATAATCAGCTATTCATTTTCTGAGCTATAGCAGCAATAGGGTTAGATATGGAAGCCAGATCTTCATAATACAATTTAATAATGAAATAACAAAAAAACCCTCCTGCATTTATCTCTTTTATCAGGCATAAGTCATATTCAGGTTCAGCGTTCTCTAATGAAATATCTGAAAGTTGAATTTTTTATAATGTGGAATTGCAAATTTTGCAAAAGATGCAGAATTTCAAGAAACAATGCGATGTTGAAAAGTGGGTTGACTTACAGAGCTATTGACATGGGGGGATGTGGCAGAATTAGATCAGAGAAGAATGGTTGAAGATAAAAAAATTGATTTGAATAAGGGACATGACTGATGCTTCAAACTGGAGTGGTATTAACAGCAGAGGGATAAGAGTGGCCCTTGGGAAATTTGAAGATGTCCTTGTTTTTTTTCTTTTTTTAAATTCCAAAATTGTTCTTTGTAAATGTTCTGTGAAAGCAAGGTAAATGATTGTATACTTTTCCCTGAACAATTTTGCAGTATTAATTCTTTATTAGTTTTTTGAAAGAGCACATAATTACATGTGTAACCAAATTTTGTTGCATATAAAGTAAAGTAGATATGTAATTTCAAGTTTTATTTCTCAAATAAAATTCCATAAAAGTAATTTTTTATCCACTTACAAAATTTCGGTCTTTATTTTAGGTGAGTTTATTGTTAAGGTTTTGCTAGTTATATTTGGATAAGAACAACTCCCTATACATTTTTTAACTTTTATTTTTTAATTAATGTGTTATGGATATCTTTCCATATTAATAAATGTAAAAATTTATCTTTTTACAACTGCCTGCAGAGTGTTCCATTGTATGGAGATAGCAATTTATTAAAATAGTTATTTTCTGCTAAACTTGTGAGTTTTCCAAAAGGTACATATGTATTACTTAGAGATAACTTTCAGTTTTCCAATTTGGTATTAAATGTTTACTGTCCTTTGACAGTGACCTCTGAGTAATTATGTCATTTTGACTATAAATAGCAAGATGGAAGAACTTCACTTTTCCACCGGTATTGCTGCTGGACAGGCTCCCTGCCTGCCCCTGCTGCCTCGTCATCCATCTCCTCCTGCCTTCCTAATGTGCTTTGCATTTACGCTGTGTAGACCTGTTGCAGTACCCCTGAACACAGGAGAGATGCACCTTGTTCTACATGGTGGTTCAAAGAGCAGACCCTAGAGTTGCAGAGGGCCTCAAGTGGAAGGCTGCTTACTGCACTTGCTCTAAGGGCTCCTACCTGAGGTCTGCAGTGAGCTGCTAGCCCTACCTTGTCTGTGAGCAGTCTAGGAATTATTGCTTGGCATCTGTTTGAATATATTTACAAAAATGTCATGTTCAAAATTAAAATAGGATGTCATGTAATATAGTATTAATCATATATAAATATGTTATAATTAATTATATTTATTAAATTTTTGTGTTCAAAAGTAGAAGGTAATACAATGTTATATTACAATTATATAACATGACATGGTAATATAATATAATATTATATGAGTTTCTGTCAGTGGCTTGGGAATCTAACCACCATTTATTACTTTCTATGCAGGTATATATTATAAAAAGTCTGAGTTAAATGAATAAATACAATCTATTCTAGAACTTTTGTTTTTTGTTTTTTCCTTTTTTTGCATGATGTAGTCTCACTTAGTCATCTAGGCTGGAGTGCAGTGGTGCCATCTTGGGTCACTGCAACCTCCACCTCCTGGGTTCAAGCAATTCTCCTGCCTCACCCTCCCAAGTAGCTGGGATTACAGGCATGCACCACCACACCGGCTAATTTTTGTATTTTTAGTAGAGATGGGGTTTCACCGTGTTGGCTGGGCTGGTTTTGAACTCCTGAGCTCAGGTGACCCACTCACCTCACCCAGCCTCCCAAAGTGCTGGGATTAAAGGCATAAGCTACTGCATTCGGCCAGTACACATCTATTCTACCTATCATTTGTGAGATAGGGGCTACCTTTCGTTTATTTTGTATGCTCAATCAATGTATTAAGTCTGTTTTTATGTTTAAAAGCAAACCTCAAGTATTTTTCAATTTTTATGTAAAAACATGCTATTGTAAATCTAAATAAAATCAGTTGAAAGAATGAAATCACATAGATTTTTAAATGAAAGGATGAAAATTCTAGGCTGGGCATGGTGGCTCACTCCTGTAATCCCAGCACTTTGGGAGGCTGAGGTGGGCGGATCACCTGAGGTCAGGAGTTCAAGACCAGCCTGGCCAATATGGTGAAACCCCATCTCTACTAAAAATCCAAAAATTAGCCAGGCGTGGTGGCGCACGCCTGTAATCCCAGCTACTGGGAAGGCTGAGGCGGGCAAATTGCTTGAACTCAAGAGGCGTAGGTTGTAGTGAGCCGAGATCATGCCGCTGCACTCCAGCCTGGATGACAGAATGAGACTCCACCTCCAAAAAAGTAAAAAAATTCCAAAAGCTGATCATTTAAGTAAGTGGCTGTGATTTAATGTTGGATTCCAGTATCTTAATTGAACATGATAACTTTGGTTGTTGGTACTTTGAATTTGTCTTTGAATTTTGGTATTTTAGAAGCTTTCCTCCCCACTCTTCAGGGAATATTACCAAACAGATGTTTTGGCCCAAGGCTGCCCCTTGTGTGAATTCAACTTTCCATCTGTTTGTTCCTGACTTTGTTTTATAAATTATCCATATGAAAACCAGAAAGGATTTCCAGTTTTCACAGATTATACAGGTTGAGTGTCCCTTATCCAACATCATGCTTGGGACCAAAAGTGCTTGGGGCTTCAGATTTTTTCAGATTTTGGAAAGTTTGCATCTGTGTAATGTAATATCTTGGATTGGAACCTAGGTCTGAACACCATATATGTTTTATATACGCCTTTTGAACGTCGCCTGAAGGTAATTTTATCTAATTTTTTACATTTTATTTTAGGAGACAGTTTCTCACTTTGCTGCCCAGGGTATAGCGCAGTGACACAATGTTGGCTCACTGCAACCTCTCCCCACCCTTCTCCTTCTCTGCCACCATGCCCAGCTGTATATATATTTTTTTAAAGACAGAATCTCGATCGGTCGCTGTCGCCAAGCTGGAGTGCAGTGGCGCGATCTCGGCTCACTGCAACCTCTGCCTCCTGGGTTCAAGTGATTCTTCTGCCTCAGCCTCCTGAGTAGCTGGGACTACAGGCGCACGTCACCATGCCCAACTAGTTTTTGTATTTTTAGTAGAGACAGGGTTTTGCCATATTGCCCAAGCTGGTCTCCTGACCTCAAGTGATCCACCTGCCTCGGCTTCCCAAAGTGCCGGGATTATAGGTGTGAGCCACCATACCCAGCCCTGTTTTAGTTTTTAATTGCAGCCTCGAACTCCTGGCCTCAAGCTATCCTCCCATCTCAGCCTCCCTCATAGCTAGGAGCAAAGCCCTGTGCCACTATGCCTTACTAATTTTTTTGTTAAATGTGTAGAGACAGGGTCTTGGTGATGTTGTCCAGACTAGTCTTGAACTCCTGGCCTTAAGTGATTCTCCTCCCTCAGCCTCCCAAAGTGCTGGGGTGACAGGCATGAGCCTCTGTGTCCATCCAGTTTTATACACTATTTTCAATAATTTTGTGCTTGGAACAATGGTTGGGGACATTGAACCATTTATCCTTTGTGGGCATCTTGTGTGGAGGAATTTTGGCTTTTGAAAAAGATATATTGCAGTTGCAGGGAGCTGGGAGGCTCTTTTTTCCCGTAGGGATACTGAATAAACAGTTGTATGCCTGCATTTTCACTGCAGCTCATCACATGAGGTTAGGTGTGGAATTTTCCATTTGCATCATATTGGCACTCCAAAAATTTGAGGTTTTGGATTTTTGGATAAAGGTTACTCAGCCTGTATGCACTTCTTAGACAGGTTTGAAAGCTTGTCAAGCTTTATCTTAGTGTTTCAGAAGTGGAAAGTATACTGGATAATTTCTAGCAAAATATAAATGACCGAGTTTGCTGCAGTAGATAGCAGGAAACGAAGCTTAAATAACTAATTACTGTAAAAGGAATTTAGGTATCTCTTTGTTCCAAATACATCTTTTTAAAAACCCTAGTGCAGTTGGTCTCACAGATGCATTCTTACTAGATCTCTGAGGCAGCTTTTTTCAATGTTGTTGAACTGGGCAGGGCATAGAGAAGGGAAGCTTCCAGATTCTTTGTCTAAAACTGGCATAACACTGAAAATTGAGAAACTCTCCAGACAAAAAACTATAATCCATGTTGCTTTGAAGAATATTATGTAAAAATCCCAAATATTTGCAAATAGGATCTAACAGCATATTTAAACAAATAATCATTTACCCAGCTAGAGTTCACACCCAGAATATAAAATTGGTTCAGTAAAAGTAAGTACGTTAATATAATTGACTATATCAGTGTTGAAGGGCAAAACCCATAAAATGTCCGAAGATCTGAAAAGATAATTAGCCAAAAATCAGTGGTTATTCCTAATTGAAAGCAAAATAGGAGTAACATGATCCAAAAATTCCTCAAATCAAAACTAGCATTTTCGCTTCATAATTGGGAAAACAAAGGCATTCCTATTAAAATCACCACTATCATTGAACATGATTCTAGAAGTACTAGCTGGCAGAAATAGGCAAGTTTCAAGTCTTTATGGAATGTATCAGTATAATAAAGCTGAAATCAAAGATCTGTAATACGGTTATGTGGATTGTTAAATGGGACATCTGGCTATCCATTTGGAAACATTAGAAAGTTTGACTCCAACCTCATTCTTTATATAAAAATTTCATGTGAACTAAAGATTTAACATCAACTTAGCTCTGGCATTAGAAGAAAGCCTGAAGTACATATGATCTCTCTCTAAATATAGAGAGAGATACTTTCTAAATTCACTTAGAGTGGGGAGGGCCTTTCTAAGCAACAGAAAAAAACTAGAAGAAAAATTTAACCATAGCGATTCTCTGTCAAAAAGTGAAATCACACACACCAGTCTGAGACCAAATATTGCCAAAGTATGATGCACAAATGGATAATTCCCTGTGCACACTTGTACAAGGCTGTATGTACAGGGGTGTTTGTTGCAGCATTGTAATGATGACGAAGGAATAGAAACAACTTGAACGTCACCAGTAAGGTACTGGTTTTAAGAATATGGAAAATACATTAAAGTATACTTTACAATTAAAAAGAATGATTTAATTAGGATATAGGTGTACTTATGGAAAACACTCCACAGAGTTGAGATGGGTCTGTAATCCCAGCACTTTGGGAGGCCAGGGTAGGTGAATCATTTGAGATCAGGAGTTCGAGACCAGCCTGGCCAACATGGTAAAACGCCATCTCTACTAACAATACAAAAATTAGGCAGGTGTGGTGATGCGCACCTATAATCCCAGCTACCCGAGAGGCTGAGGCAGGAGAATTGCTTGAATCCAGGAGGCGGAGGTTACAGTGAGCTGAGACGACGCCACTACACAACATCCCATTCAGATGTGGTAGTAGTTGGTGTAGAAAAGGGTTTATACTATGCTCTTATTTCTGTATTTTCAAAAGAATGCGCCAGATAACATATACCTATCATTTCTCTGGAATATTAAATACTTAAACAGTGAACAGTCTCTGGAGAGGGAGTCTGAATTTGAAGGGAAACTTTTTATCAAGTACCTTTGGAACAATGTAAATTTTGTAATGTTTCAGTTTTTAAAATTGTTTTTTAAATCTTTTTCCCTTTTGGTTTTAGTGGTGACATCTTTACTCATTAACCTGGGAAGCCCCATAAAAGAAGTTCGTAGGGCTGCCGTTCAGTGTCTCCAGGCCCTCAGTGGAGTGGTGTCCCCGCTTCATCTGATAATAGATGATCTGATTTCTAAAGCAGAGGAGATCACTTCAGATGCTACGTATGTTATTCAGGTAAGCTCGTTAGCAAAGATTCAGTGTGTTCATGCCTGTGCATACACGTGAGCAGTTTTCTCCATTCTTGATGTTTTACTGTGTAGGGATTTTGATGAACTAAGTCCTTGAATTTAGGAACTGATATGTCAGTATCTGTACATCTGTCTCCCCCTACTTTTTAAAAGATAGCAATGTCATATTTCAGTTTATTTCTTTTCATTGGATAAAGGACTAGTGTATAGCTTTTCATAGTAAGCCAACTATGTATTATAAATAACTTTTCTTATTAAGGTTTTAAGGGGAAATAGAAAATTGTAAACAATGTCACATCATTTGGGTAAGAATCTTCCATAATTAATATATTTAGCCTTTATAGTTTCTTAACCCTTTTTTAATCCAGTTTTCTTTTTGGTGTCTTAGGATTTGGCTACTTTGTTTGAGGAACTACAGAGAGAAAAGAAACTGAAATCTCATCAGAAGTTGTCTGAAACTTTGAAAAACTTACTTAGTTGTGTATATAGTTGCCCATCTTATATAGCAAAAGATTTGATGAAAGTACTTCAGGGAGTCAACAGTGAGGTATGTGCCATTTAAGTGGGTTGTAGGTTCCTGTGATGTTACTAAAGAATTGTAACTGGCCGGGCGTGGTGGCTCAAGCCTGTAATCCCAGCACTGTGGGAGGCCGAGACGGGTGGATCACGAGGTCAAGAGATCGAGACCATCCTGGTCAACACGGTGAAACCCCGTCTCTAATAAAACTACAAAAAATTAGCTGGGCATGGTGGCGCGTGCCTGTAATCCCAGCTACTCAGGAGGCTGAGGCAGGAGAATTGCCTGAACCCAGGAGGCGGAGGTGGCAGTGAGCCGAGATCGCGCCATTGCACTCCAGCCTGGGTAACAAGAGCGAAACTCCGTCTCAAAAAAAAAAAAAAAAAAAAAGAATTGTAACTGCTTGTGGATGAGGAAGACAATTGCAAGAGTGGCATGTATGCACTCAGGAGAGATAACTGTAATATTAATTTGGGAGGAGGATGGGTCGAGGTAGAGAAAAAAAGATACAAGGTACAAAACAAGCACTGGTGAGTTTCTTTTTATTTTAAAATTAAATGTGTTGTCCGTGTCTAATCATTAAGTTTATTTTAAATGAACTTAACTGTCCGGTGTCTGTCTCGTGGGGCTGCACTTCGGTGTATCTGTTTTTCAAGTGAAAATTTTATACAAAGCAATATATTTGGACATGCGTCTGTGAAAATTCCAAAATCATTTGCTTGTTTATTAGATATATTTAGAGCTTTCATTATGTTCTCAAGGAAGCTTGTGTTAGAAAAGAAAGCAGTTGTGAAACACTTGTTTATGTGATGGCATGTGCTGACCAGCAGAGAAAAGGTTTCTTTACCCCAGTGTTCCAAAAACACCTGTGCACTTCATCAGCCTTAGACTGACTATAGACTTAGAAAACTAAAATGAGTAAAACGGACTGAAGACCATTTGATTACATTTTTTTTGGTAGGAACAAACAGGTTGCGTTCAACTCTTAGTTGTCCCTGGTATAGTTTAAATTAGGAACTGACAAATTGTGTAAAAGACCGGATAGAAAAGATCTTATGCATTCCAGACCACACAGTCTCTGTTACAGCTGCTCAGCTCTGCTGTTTTATCAGGAAAGCAGCCACAGACAGCGTATAAACAAATATGCATGGCTGTGTTTCAGTACATACAATTTACAAAAACAGGTGGTCTATTGAATTTGGCCTTCAAGCCACAATTTGCTGGCCCCTGGTTTAGTAGTTAAAGATTCACATACATAATTTGAATTAATATTTATTATACCAAGTTGGAAACATTGAGGGATGCATACAGTGTTTTAGGGAATGTTAAGCTTTAGTTTTATACACTAAAGTTTTAGTTTGTGACTTCTGTTCTTAAGTCTTGAAGGATGCTCACGGATTATCTTTCTACTCATCTTTTAAGGGTTTAGCGCTTTTGAGCATTACACATGAACTATCAGAAAGGACCTGAGTGCCTTGGTGTGAATTAATAGCTGTCTCCGTATCTAAGAAGTTATCGTTACTGGGTTTTTTTCCTCCGGGCTACACTCCCATCATCCAACAGGATATCTTTGGGTGTCTCTGTAGAGTGAGCAAAAACATACCAGTGTAGGTAACTATTTACTAATAAGTCTTTCAATCTTTAGATGGTGCTTTCTCAGCTATTGCCTATGGCTGAACAACTGCTAGAAAAGATTCAGAAGGAGCCCACAGCTGTCTTGAAAGATGAGGCCATTGTTTTGCATCTCACTCTGGGAAAGTATAATGAATTTTCATCTTCCCTTTTAAATAAGGATCCGAAGAGTCTAGATATATTTATAAAAGCTGTGCACACAACAAATGAACTTTACGCAGGAATGCCAACCATTCAGATTACAGCCCTTGAAAAGGTCAGTGATTTCTTTCAGAAACTAAGGCATGGCAAGTTCAAGCATTTAAGGGTGAAGGCAACAGGAACAGAGTAAAAGAAAAACGTAGTATTTTATTTGGAGAAGATAGTTATAGGTGAACTTGACATGTTTTAAAGGAATGTAATATATTTGACCCATTTTGCAAAAGTGAATGTTGTACATGGGTCATTAAACAGAATTGGCGTTTTCACTGACATATTTAAATGGGAAACAATTTTATATTTCCAGAGACGGTGATAAAAACTTTATTTCTGGAGTTTAAACTTATTCACTGAACTCATTTGCCTTTTTTCTACCCCCTCTAGATTACAAAACCATTTTTCGCAGCCATATCAGATGAAAAAGTTCAGCAGAAGCTTTTAAGAATGTTGTTTGATTTATTGGTGAACTGTAAAAACTCACGTTGTGCTCAGACTGTCAGCAGTGTTTTTAAAGGGGTAAGCTGCAAACTTCGTGCAGGTTTTTTTATTAATGTTTAGTCTCTTCCAAGGGACACCATGTTTAAGAGTCCAGCATTTTATAGTGCTTCTAAGAGGTCAGATGTTACCATTAACAAGAATCATGGAAAAGTAAATCATAGAGAGGCATAAAATAAAAATTATAAGTCTTTACCGTTATTTTATTTTATGAAATATTTATTGATAGTTTGAACCAGATAGGGTGTGTAGGAATTTGTATGTGTGTGCTCTTACTGGTACTAGGTGGAATCTACCTATTCCTTTATGCAGGGAATGGGAATGAGTGAGTGGCTCAGTGTTGAACTAGGTAGCTTCATTCTACTTCATTTAAACAGTTGTTTAATGACATATAATGGAATTGAAATTCTGCTTGTTAGTTTCATATGTATATTGAAACCTAGCTATTGTCTGACTAGCTACCTGGTTATTCTGTTTTATTGAATATAGAATAATATGAAGTTCTAGTATCTAGATTCAGCAGTTCTCAGAATTTTAACATATTTAGTTAATCTTTTTCCTTGTCTTTGCTGAAGTATTTTAAAGTAAGTCTCAAAATGTCGTGCATTTTCATCCCTCTGTACTTCAGTGTGCATCTTTTGCAAAGTGGATACAACTACAATGCCATTAGAAGTAAAAAAAATTAATAATCAAATTATTCCTCGATATTATCTAATACCTAGTTCATAATCATATTCCCATGGTTATCTCAAAGGTATTTTTTATAGTTGTTTTCTTTGAGTCAGAATCCAAAGATTTGTTAGAACCTTATAAAAAGAGTTATCTGGATCCCATCCCATATCTAAAGAATCTCTGGAGGTATGAATCTGTTTTTGTGGGTGTGTGTATATGTCTTATTCCTTCCTGGCTGATAAGAATATACATACCTGATTCTACACTTGGAACCAATTGGTATGGATGATTCTATATTGTGTTACTAGTTTTCCACTCTAAGGGGTGAACATGAAATGACTGGACTGGAGAAGTGGTACCATATCATAATCAAGCCAAGTGCAGGGCTATAACTTGAGACTTCTAAGACAAACCATATAGAAAGCAAGTGCATGGTAGTAGGAGATCTCAGTTAAAATGAAAATCTGAAGTTGAATTTATGTTAGCTAGTGCTTTTTGTTTATACCCTCCTCTACTTTGCCTTCTTCTCATTCTGGTTTTTCAAGAGTTCTGTAACAAGGCAGTAGCAGCAAATGCTGGGGGGATGTAGGCATATCCAGTAAGTCATTCTTCCCTCTTAATTGAATAAATCCTTCCCAGGGGTTAATGTCTGATTTTGGTCTTAATATTTTTAAAGAAATGTGGGAAAAAAATTAGAATCACAAGAAGCACATTTTTAGCAGGCCTTAAGTATAGTACTAATGAAGTGCTGATTGATGAGCTAAGATCTAGTCCAAATGAGAACATCTTAAAGCATTTAAAGGGTTATTAGAAGGAAAGTGCTAATCCAGATTCCTCCCTCTTCTATTTGACAGTGGGCTAGAGAGTATATGAGATACTTGCTAGTCATGCCATATCAGCCAGAGACAAGATTGGCCTTAAATGTCAGGCCAGGTCTACTTTGACAACAAAAATTATTTTGATGACTGAAATACACTCGATTATGTGAAGCACTCTCTTATGCTTTGTGACAATATATACCATATGATAAATTAAGTGTATACTGATGAGAGCGGGTATCCAAGGTACACTAAGTGAAACATACCAGGGTACAGAGCAATGTGCATGGTATGTTTCTATTTATGTTTTTTAATAGCATATACAGCCATTGGTATGTGGAAAGTTTCTTAAAGGAAGCATAGGAAATTGTCAGTGATGTTTGCATTTGGTGATTGGCCTGGGCTATAAAGTGGTATAAAGACATAAAAATGGATGTAAATGCTTTCATTGTATGTCCTAATCTAACATTTATTGCTCTAATTTTATCCCAATGGATTATATCATCAACTGTTCTTCCTTCAATATTTCAGATTTCCATTAACGCTGAACAAGTCAGAATAGAACTGGAGCCACCAGATAAAGCTAAATCCTTGGGCACAGTTCAGCAAAAAAGAAGGCAAAAAATGCAGCAGAAGTAAGAGCTACAGATGTGTTGAGTACATGCTGTTGTTCCCCTGTCTTTGAATGTTAGGAAGCCATTGGGACTTTTTGACACGCATCAATTTGCCATAATCAGGCACAATGGTTTTTACTTAGCACATGATAGTGTTCGCTTTTCCAACTTTTTGTCTTCTCTGTTTTCCAGAAAATCACAAGATCTAGAATCTGTTCAGGAAGTTGGAGGTTCCTACTGGCAAAGAGTAACTCTCATCCTGGAATTACTGCAGCACAAAAAGAAGCTCAAAAGTCCTCAGATATTGGTGCCAACTCTTTTTAACTTGCTCTCAAGGTAATTGATCTGTGAGAGAGCAGGACTCTTAATTCTTGCCCATCTTACCTAACCTTCTCTTTTCAACATACTCTTTTGTTTAAGTAGTCTGTAAAATAAAGCAAGAACTATAGGTGAAATTGAAAGATGGGTTTTAGGTATCCATTGCCAGTGCCCCAAACTCACCTTAGTGCCCTGTGTCATATAGTAAATGACCACTCGCTTTACAGCCTATTTTCCTTCTGAACTTTTCAGTAACATGCCTGGGGCATCCTTAATTGTATTTCAAGATATAGTGTTGAATTTGTGTGTGTGTGTGTGTGTGTGCGTGTGTGTGTATAGTGTTTGCTGTCTATATATATTTTTACATATAGATGTATATAGATATGGATAGATACATTTCTTTGGTGTAAATTGTTAGACAGCTATAGAGTATGAATTGTGGAATGTGCTTTCATGTGAAAGGCAAAGTAATTCAGGAGGTGTCCTGTAATATTCCAAACAGATTAATGAAAAGTGCAGTAGAGAAGAAAGGGAATTTGACATAGCACCTGTCTATATGAGAGGAAATTAGAGTTGGAAATCTTACATCTTATTTATAGATTTCATGTTTAATGATAGTACTTTAGTTATTGAATATGAGTTCTGGACGGTGGTCATTAATGCAACAGTGAATTTACAACTTTCACATTTCCCATCGTTTCTCCTTTGGGTGTCCTGAAGGTGTTTAGAACCCTTGCCGCAAGAGCAGGGAAATATGGAGTACACCAAACAATTAATTCTTAGTTGTCTGCTCAGCATCTGCCAAAAACTCTCTCCAGATGGTGGCAAAATACCCAAAGGTATGTACTTTTTGGAAGGAAAGGTTAGAAAATTGTCTACTTTGAGTGTGAATGTACCTGCCACTTAGGGTTTTTGTCTTTCTCAACACTGTAGATATTTTAGATGAGGAGAAGTTCAATGTGGAGTTGATTGTTCATTGCATCCGCCTTTCGGAGATGCCTCAGACCCATCACCATGCCCTTTTACTTTTGGGTACTGTTGCTGGAATATTTCCGGTAAGTGTTAGTGATTTAAGATTTCAGCAGATATTTCAGATATTTTCCTTCCACAGAAATGCATCGGCACCTACTGATTTAAATTAATTAGGCTTTGGAGTCTTCCAGCACTGGTGGGACTCTCAGCCCTGACTCTTCATAGCTGGGACAGTATGAGCCAGTTGGTCTTGCTAAGCTTTGGCTTCCCTTTTTATCAAGTGGGAATAATAACCTTCTTCACTGGATTGTTGGGGGAATTCAGTTGGATAATTTGTGATTAGTACATAGCACAGTACCTGGCACACTAAATGTCTAATAAAACAGTGGGTATTAGTGTTATTTGGGTAAAGTTAATAACTCATTTATCCTCAAGTAATCCTCAAAATAACCTTTAACTAGCGACTTGAGAAAATTAATTTGATCATAAACGGTGTCATTTAAAGAAGTCATGTCCCTTTTATGAAAAACATCATTTAAAAAATTTGTAAAGAGGTTGAAACTATTTTCATATTGGGGCTTTAGGTCAGAGGTTCTTAACCTGGGGTTCTCCATGAGCTTTAGGGGGTCTTAATCTACTGAAATTATATGCAAGGTTTTATGTATATGGGATTTTTTTTTTTTCTTGTAAGAGAATCTATGCTTCTCAAAGGGGTTGATAAACTAGAAACAGGTAAGAATCATTAATATTTTTTTTTATTGAAATGTAGTTCAGATGCCATAAGATTCACCCATTTAAAGTATACAATTAAGTGGTTTTAGTATATTCACAAGGTTTGTGTAATCACCACCACAGTCTACTTAAAGAGCATTTTCATCACGTCAGAAAAGAAACTCCACACCCGTTAACAGTCACTCTATCTCCCGCTGCTCCCTACCACCACCACCCTTCTCCTGGCCACCACTAAGGTATTTTCTGTCTCTATCAGTCTGCCTATGCTGGGCATGTCATATAAATTAAGTCATACAATATGTGGCCCTCTGTGTCTGACTTCTTTTGCTTAGCATACTGTTTTTGAGGTTCATTCATGTTGAAGCTTGAATCAGTATTCCTTTTATGACTGAGTAATATTGTTGTATGTGTATGCCACATTTTGTTTATCCGTTCATCAGTTGATGGACATTTGGGTTGTTTCTACTTTGGGGCTATTATAAATTATGTTGCTGTGAATATTCTAGACAAGGTTTGTGTGGCCATGTTTTCGTTTCTCCTGGGTATGTATACCTAGGAGTGGAATTGCTGGGTCATGCGGAACTTTATGTTTAACTTCGGCGTAACTTGTGAGACTGTTTTCCATAGTTCCACACCATTTTTCTCCCACCAGCAGGCTGTAAAGGTCCCAGTTTCTTCACATTCTTGCCAGGACTTGTTACTGTCTTTTTTACCACCATCCTAGTGGGTATGAAGTAGTATTTATGCTTATATGCTTTTCATATGAATTTATGCTTATATGCTGTTCGAATGAATTTTTTTTTTTTTGGAGAAATGCCGTTTCAAATCCTTTGCCTATTTTTTAATCAGGTTATTTCTCTTTTTATTGGTGAGTTGTAATCAATCATTGATATTTGATGTGTTTGAAATAGAGAATGTTAGCCTGAGGCAGACACATCACTTGTGGCCAGGAGTTCAAGACCAGCCTGAGTAACAGTGAAAACCCCATCCTTACAAAAAAAGAAAAAGAACAAAAATTAGCTGGGCATGGTGGTGTGTACCTGTAGTCCTAGCAACTCAGAAGGCTTAGGATGGGAGGAGGATTGCTTGAGCTTAGGAGTTTAAGGTTACAGTGAACTGTGATCACATAACTGCACCCTAGCTTGAATGACAGAGTATGACCCTATCTCTTATATAAATTAATAAATATAGAAAATGTTGATAGTTACGTTTTCTTTCAGGATAAAGTTCTACACAATATCATGTCTATTTTTACATTTATGGGAGCCAATGTCATGCGCCTAGATGATACTTACAGTTTTCAAGTCATTAACAAGACAGTGAAAATGGTTATTCCCGCACTTATTCAGGTAAGCTGTCTTTTTGCCATCTTGGGGTTTCTTTTTTCAATTTAAAATTTTGCATATGAATAACATTAAAAGCCTTTTTTTTTTTTTTTTTTAAATATTCTCAGCAATTGTGCTGTATAAAGAAAGGCCTTTCTGAAATACTCAAGTACATTGCCCTTCGGTTTTAGGATGTTGAAGCTAAGAAGCAGTCTTGGCAAAGTCTTTTCCAATAATATAAACAAACATGTTATAGCCGGTTCTGCTGTGCTGTGAGCGTGTGACTATACGTGTCTTAACATCATTCTGATGGGGTGAATTTACATCCACTGTCTATTTCGGGCATTGCATCAGTTTGATAATACCTTCTTATATGTTGACGAGGATGGGAACTTTTAGAGCTACAGTGACAAATTTGCTAACGTGCAGTTTAGCAAATGTTTACCAAGCATTCTCTAAAAGCTAAACTCAGAGAGAGAGGCGAGATGTTCTCTCTCCCAGTAAGAAATGAATAATTCAAGAGATAAAAGTAGCCTCAAGAGTGAAAGAGCTTGGTCATCTACTTGAGTTTTCCATTTACCCTCACATGTTAATTAATGTCTTTTCTCATGCTATTGGCCATCCCAGGGATGACCATATTCAGCACCTTTTTTTAACCTTAGTATTAGATTGGTGTTCTCAGTGTCCGCCAAGTGGGCAAGCAGAGGATAGATACATAAATAGAAAAATAACAGTATGCATTCATATGATCAGTGCCAATTGAATAAGTAAATGCTGAAAAGGTCGGAATGGGAAAGTCCACATGGGCCAGGATGACCACAAAGTTTCATAAGAAATAGAATTTGAACTGGTGCGAAAGAAGGATAGGATTTGTTCAGTGATGGGAGAGCCAACGGTGTGAGAAAAGGCATGATCTAGGAATGTGCACATTGTGTTTGAAGAATGTAGTATAGATCGATTGATGGAGAGCAGAGGGTTGAGACAGGTAGACATGGGTTTATCCATTCATTCCAGTGTTTTTTGTCATTCCTTCTGTCATTTATTCAACAACTGTATTTTGATCACCAATACCCCAGAGTAAAATGGTTCAAACTTTATTGTGAAAACAGCAGGAAGTTGTTGGCTTTTTCTGTGCTCTGCTTACCTTCATTCTTCTTGAGGCACAACCCAAATCCTGCGTGATTTGTGCAGCCTTCCCAGGCAGCCTAAACAGACTTGCTGTCAGTGTCACATGTTTGGCATCTGCTGTTACTGCCTCCTGTTACCTTTTCACATATGTATCCTGTTTCTTTTGTTTGTTTGTTTTTCGAGACGGAGTTTTGCTCTTGTTTCCCAGGCTAGAGTGCGATGGCACGATCTCGGCTCACTACAACCTCAGCTTCCTCCTTTCAAGCGATTTTCCTGCCTCATCCTCCTGAGTAGCTGGGACTACAGGCATGCACTACCACACCCATCAAATTTTGTATTTTTAGTAGAGACAGGGTTTCACCATGTTGGCCAGGCTGGTCTTGAACTCCTCACCTCAGGTGATCTGCCCACCTCGGCCTCGCAAAGTGCTGGGATTACAGGCGTGAGCCACCATACCTGGCCATGTATCCTGTTTCATACAGAAAATAAATCTCCTTTGGACAGGGCTCACATTGTACACTTTGTATTCCCCTCGGGGCTAAATAGTGACCTGGACATGATAGGTACTTACTGAATATTTATTGTTAGGCCTTTGATGATTAAAACTCTTCTGGCTGAGTGTGGTGGCATGCACCTGTAACACCAGCACTTTGGGAGGTTGAGGTGGGATTATTTGAGGCCAGGAGTTTGAGACCAGCCTGGTCAACATAGCAAAAGCCCATCTCTACAAAATTTTTAAAAAGTAGTGGGAGATGCTAGGATGTCACAGCTTTTTGGGAGCCTGAGGCAGGAGGATCGCTTTGAACTCAGGAGATCCAGGCTGCAGTAAGATATGATCACGCCACCGCACCTGAGACTGGGCCGCAGAGAAAGACCCTGTTTTTTTATACATATAAATATAAATTCATTTATTCTTCCAGTAACTTCTTGGGGCACATCAAAGCCTTATCTTATCCACCTAAAGCTTGTTTTGTGGAGAATTACTTGCACCTACTCGTTGTCTCTGCTTGCTGTTTTGCAGTCTGATAGTGGAGATTCTATAGAAGTTACAAGAAACGTTGAAGAGATTGTGGTAAAAATCATTAATGTGTTTGTGGATGCGTTGCCACATGTCCCGGAGCACAGGCGCCTGCCCATCCTCGTTCAACTTGTTGATACGCTGAGTGCAGAAAAATTCCTCTGGGTTCTCCTCATCTTGCTTTTTGAACAGTATGTCACAAAAACAGTGCTGGCAGCTGCCTATGGAGAAAAGGTCAGAACCTAGGGTGGGAAGATAAGGAAAATGGTGATTTCTCACAAAGATTTTATGATACTGTCCAGTTTAAACATGGGACTGATGATGCTTAATGTGTGTTATTTAGAACCTTTTTGCTCAGAACCTTTTTCAGAAAGGCTTTTGGCGTTTTAAAAAATTGCATTCAGAGTCCATAGCACTCTGAATATCCTCAGTTGTAGCAAAATGTCTTCTGAGGCCAAGTTAACTTTTCTGAGAAACAGGACTGGTGCCATACACGTGGTTCTATTTTAAGCCCAGCAGAGTATGGCTAAAGAGAATGAAACAGTGTCTCTTGAAAGTGATTTTGAAGGCAGTGTGGGGGAAATGGAAGAGCGCCCCTGTCCCTGCAGTCAGTAAGACACAGACACGGGTGATTGTTTAGAAAAGCCCGGTTTGGATAAGTCAAGGAACGTTTTCAAATGACTTCTTAGATATGGGATCTGGGAGTAGATTTTGACCTACTCTAAATAAAGTAATATACTCTGTTCTGCTAGAAATCAAAATGCATGTTGTCCTGAAATTATGCCTTTGCAATTCCGTAAGTACAGATTTGTTACATTTTTCTTTCTGCACAGGATGCTATTTTAGAAGCAGACACTGAATTTTGGTTTTCAGTCTGTTGTGAATTTAGTGTCCAGCATCAGATACAAAGCTTGATGAAAATTCTCCAGTACTTACTAAAGCTGCCAGAGGAAAAAGAAGGTAAGCGTAGATCGAGGGTCACTGACCGTTCAATCTGAAAGCTAAAGCGAAGCAGAAGATAACTCACGTTGTACTTAGTACATTTTCAGAAGGATTTTTAAAGTAAGTCAATCATTTTAATTTGATGGTGTACTTTCTTGAATCCTTATGGAAAATAGTCAGTAGGAATTCCACTTGCCATTCCTCACACATTGTCTTTTATACCTCTGTGCCCTGCGCTGATGTCTTAGCTTTGGAATGTGACCAATATCCAGGATGAGTTAGGTTCAAATGACTGTAAATGATCAGGACTTCGTTAGCCGTCCCTCAGCTTCTCTTTAAAATATCTGGAGATATTCACATGAAAAGAAAAAATAGATACCAAAGGAGTGGTAGTGAAATACTGAAATTGTACCATACAGCAGAGCCTTGAAGAAAATCTCACTAATTGCAGCACCACTGAGGCTAGCTTAGAAAGGTTGATGAAACCAGGTGTGATGGTGTTGGCCTGTGGTCTCAGCTACTCAGAAGAGTGAGATGGAAGGATCACTTGAGTCCAGGAGTTCAAGACCAGCCTGAGCAACCTAGTAAGACCCCATCCCTAAAAAAAAAAATTTTTTTTTTTTTTTTTTTTTCATTAAGAAAGCGTTGACGTGTTGAAAGTTCTTAGTTCTCTACCCTTCGAAGCAGAACAACAAGGCACGTTAGAAAGAAGGTACTAAGAGCATCGCAGAGATAATTTTCTGCATGGCCAGCCATTAGCCCTGTCATCCCTTTTTGGCCAGGCAGTAACTTGTCCCATCCTGTAGTTAGCTCAGGTTTGGCAGGGACAGACTAGAGAGGTCCCTGGAGAGCTATATGTGGTGATGTGGGTAAGGAAGTGTCTTCGCAGTAAGTCATTCTCTAGGATAGTGGTTTTTAAGGGGACCACCACAGGCGTCACTCCAGACACTGCACTGCCAACCCTGTTTACATTGGATGCATTGAATAAAAAAATCTACACCTGCAGTCGGAAGTTCAGAGACTCCTTCTGTTGATTGTCCTGTTTCCCTGTTTTCTTTTGTTTTTTGCCTTAAACACCCACTTCTCAGGGCTGTTGGGTACTTTCTTGGCAAATAAATACACTCACATTTTTCACTAATTTAGAAAAGGAGAAACTGGAGGTAATAGAATGACAAATTTCTCTGTGAAAATGTTATCCCGGTAACCATCCTGTATTTCAAAGGTCATATCTATTAATGTATCTGTACCAAGGATTCAGGTGAAAATGAGTGAGGTCACTTACTTTGTTGCTGTTTCAGAAACCATTCCCAAAGCAGTGTCTAATAAGAGTGAATCACAAGAAGAAACGCTACAGATTTTTAACGTGGAGAAGCACACCAGCAAGCAGCTGCGGCATTTTAAGTTTTTGTCAGTGTCCTTCATGTCTCAGCTCCTGTCTTCCGATAATTTTCTGAAAAAGGTAATGTGTTCTTCAAATGTTTATAGTAAAGTGATTTTGCTGTTTCCAAGGGAAGTATGTTTTAAACTAGTGAAAGTAGTTTGGTAAGTGGCTCATGAAAATGTGAGGCATGCCTTTAAAGATAATAGGGGAAGAAAGTACATTTCACCATGGAAAACTGTCATGATCCACTGAGATTGAACATAATGTAAACTCCATGACTCTGTGGTTTAATTCTCAAGTATTGTGTATCCACCAGAAGTGTATGAACATGTACACCAAAAAAGTCTTCAAGAATGTTTATAATATTAATAACATTCTTCATGGCAGCCCAAAACTGGTAACAACCCAAGTGTCTACCAGGAGAGTAAATTGCCTACATTTTATTTTGTTTTCTGAGACAGGTCTCACTGTGTGTACCAGGCTAAAGCGCAATGGAGTGATCCTGGCTCACTGCAACCTGGAACTCTTGGGCTCAAACAATCCTCTTGCCTCAGTTTCCCAAGTAGTGGGACTACAGGCGTGTGCCACCTACGTCTGGCTAATTTTAAAACTTTAATTTTTAGAGATGGGGTCTCGCTATATTGCCCAGGCTGATGTCAAACTGCTGGCCTCAAGCGATCCTCCCACCTCGAGCTCCCAAAGTACTGGGATAACAGGCATGAGCCACCATGCCCAGCCTTTCTTACCTGGATATAGTGAGTTCTGCATGCATGATTTGTGTACGTTTCTGTTTGTGTATTAAACTTGCTTGAACGATGAGAGAAAAGGAAGAAAGGAATATCATGACCAGGAATACAAAGTGGTTTGACATTAGAGTACTATAAAGTACATTAGTACCATAATGCATAACAGATGAAGAGGGGAAACCACATGACCGTTGTACTTTTTACAGAGAAATAATGCAGCAGATTCAATACTCATTCACACTTTAAGAAAAAATATCCTGTCAGCAGTACAGGATAGATGGGAATTACTTGACCTCATAAAGGTGACAATCAGAAGCTTGTGATTTATATCATACCTGATGATGAACTATTAATGGTGTGCCCGCTAAAGTTAGGGAAAGAATGCCCTCTGTCATTGTTTCTATTCAGGAAAAGAGATGAAGTGTAAGAATCCGGAAACAAGAGAATCAGCCATTAGAACTAATAATTGAGTTCAGTGAGCTTGCTTGAGAGAGAGCAGGGTAGACACTATCTAGAGATCGGTGTAGGTTGTGATCTATATCAAGCAAGCTGGCTGAACTCATTAGTCTCACACACTGTTACATAATGTTATTATTCCTCAAATTAGAAAACAGTCAAAAAAAGATTTCCTGTATAATAAAAACATAAAAATAAAAAAAAGACTTGTAAAGCACCAACAATAAACCTGACAAAAATATGTGCACGAATATTATGGGGGAATGTCCAAGATATTAAGGGACACAGATGAAAACTTGGAAGAAATGGAGAGACCCTGTGTTCACGCATCAGAAGCCTCGCTCTTTAAAGATGCCAGATCTGCCCAGATTAGTCTAGAAACTTAATGTACTTTTTCAATTATATCATTTTAAGAAATCATATTGTTACATCGATACCAAACTGTAAGGGGCAAAGGACAGTGTTGCAGGGTTAGTCAGAGGGATCATGCCACTGAACAGTAAGCCCAGAAGCACACCCAGGTGGAGGTAAGAAGTGCAGCAGATACTTTTACAAAGCAATGGGGGAAGAGAACGGTCCAAGTACTGGCCCTGCCATGATTTGCTTTCCACTTGAGGAAAAGTCTGATGTCACGCCTTATACAAAAGACAACAGTAGGCAGAGTAAAGCTTTACTGGAAAAAACAACAGTTCAAATGTATAGAAGTAAATCAAGGAGAACATTATTGTGACCAGAGGATAGAAAAGAATTTCTTTAAAATTTGATTGAATAGAAAGGCACCGTAAACAAGGTGAAAAGAAAGTCACAGCCTAAGAGAAGATTATTGCTCTTTATAAATCAAAAGGCATCAATTTCCATTAGAACAACTGACAAAGAATACTAATTCACTGAAGAGGAATCACGAATGGCCAATTAAAATATACACGTCATTTAGCCTCTCCAGTAAACAGGAAATGTGATTAAGTGTGATACCCATCAAATTGGCAAAACTGTTTTTAAAAAAGTTGTTAATAGCAGGGAGTGGGTACGTAGTGGCAGACAATGCGAGTTGTTCCAACCGCTTTAGAAAGCAGTTGGCAGGATCCCATGAGGCTGAAGGCTCTAGTCATTCCTGTGATCTAGTCGTTCCCTTTCTTAGGCATATATGCTATAAAAACTTGCCAAGATGCTCAAAGGAAATAAAGATGTTCTTCTGTAGCATTATTAGTAAATGGGGGGAGAATGGACATAAACTTAACATCTAGCAACAGAGGCAAATGGATAGATGAGTTGTATTTAGAGAGGAATATCATATGCAGTTAAAATGAATGAACTAGAACGTTGTCACCATGCATAGATCTCAAATACATATTTTTAAGAAAACACGTTTTTCCATGATATGTACTGTTTGAAAAGGTAGCAGATTTGGAATGATGGTTGTCTTTGTGGGGCTTGGGGTAGTGGGAGAATAGGACCAAGGAGCAGTACTTGGGGGACTGCAGCTGAATCTGTAATGTTTAGCTTCTTAACAAATGATACATGAGCTCAGCAGATCAGCATGTCATAGAATTAGGTAGTGGGTCATTGAGTGTTGGTTGCTGTATTTTTCTGAACCTTTGTAGTAGTTTTCAGATAACTGCCAGTAAAATGTAATTAAAACAAATTATTATAATGGGGATGATATGAACCTGCTTAAATTGTAATAATGTCAGAAGATGGTGCTGTGGGAAGTCTGAGTGAATGACCTGTGTTTCACTGAGCTGACTGAAATGACTTTTATTATTGACCTTCATACTGTTCTAATGACATCTTCTTTAAATATTAGGTGGTTGAGAGTGGTGGTCCTGAGATTTTAAAAGGCCTTGAAGAGAGGTGTGTTTACTTTTCTTTTTTTACTTTTTATTTGGAAAGGACTCAAACTTACAGAAAAACTGGAGAAATAGTACAGAAAACTCATGTAGCCTACAGCCAGGTTCACCGCTTGGTAATACTTTTCTGCCACATTTGCTTCAGCATTCTCCCTACGTAGGGTTTTTTCTCTGAGCCATTTGAAAGTAAGTCATATACATTATGTCTCTAAGAATAAGAGAGGTTCTTATAAAACCACATTACATTGATCAAATTCAGATAATTTAACATTGATACAACACAGTGATCGAATCTACAGTTCATATTCCAGTCTCCCTAGTGATCCCAGGGTGTCCTTTACACCACGTTTGTTTCTGCCTCACGACCCATTTCAAGTTTGCGTATTGTATTTAGTTGCCATATCTTTTTAGGATCTTTTAATCTGGCCCTGATTTCTATGGGCTCATGAATTCTTTCTTCTATGGATTATAATCCATATGCTGCCATTATATATTTGGGTGCAGGAATTTTCCTTTCACTCCCATGTCCTCAGGGAGTGCCTCCTGGCCTTGCTGTGTACCCCCTGGATGCTTGGCATTCCCAGGGCCACCATCCTGCCCCATCCACCGCAAAGTGCCTGCCCTATAGGCAGGATTGTAAGCTGCTGAGCTCCAGTCCTGTGGGCCAACTTTCAGAGTTACGTGTAGGACTTTCCTTTTCCAGAGCTGATTTTGTCTGAGCCCTCTTCTCCCCTCCTCTGCTGTGCAGTGGCAGCCTATGTCCCCACTCTCCCCTCTAGCTCCCCACTCAGGCTGGCAGCAGTAGGGGGAGCTCCAGTGGTGGTTGTGTTGGAATTTTGTGTGTGTTTTTCTAATTACAGGTTATTTGAAGTTTGTAGTCTTTTTATGTCTCCTAGCAATGTGGAAGATGTGGGTTATATGTTCATTTGTATTAATATTTCTCTTTAAATGGTGTATTGTGTGTGTGCCTGTATGTTGTGTGCTTGCATGTATGTGTGCACACATGCGCACACACACACATCTGCCATTAACCTAGGGCCATAACTCCCTGAACACCCCACTTGGACAGCACAGTCAGGCCCACTGAGCATGAGATAGATATGCGTGAGCTCTTGAAACGCCTTCAGCATCTGTTGCCTATTCACAGAGTCTGAGCAAGGGCAACACTTTTGCACAGAAGTGCCTGTTTACTTCCAGGTGATCTCTCTCTATGACAGTAATCCCTCGCTTCCTTTCTTTCCAAGTAGTTTTTGAAATAATTTAGTACAGAATTATTTAATTTCTCCTTAAAACATTTAGCATGAGATAGACATGAGTGAGTTCTTTGAGTGCCTTCAGCCGCTGTTTGCTGAGCGACGCTCCGTGTTCCAGGTTGCTGGAGACCGTTCTCGGCTATATCAACGCTGTCGCACAGTCCGTGGAAAAGAACGCAGACAAACTCACCGCGAAGTTCTGGCGCGCGCTCCTTAGTAAAGCTTACGACCTCTTAGACAAGGTGGGTTTTCATTTCTCCCCAGAATTACTGTTTCGTTGCTGTTTATATTATTGTGAAATTATTTAAAGCTTTTAAAAATAAACTTGGCAGTTCCATTTATGAATATAATGAAGCTCAGATTTTTCTTAGAAAATAATATCTTGATGACTAGAAATAAATTTGTCTGGAAAAATTCTTTCCCTACCAGTTATGAGAACACGTTCGTCATATATTTTAATAACTCAGCCATGTAATATATAATGTACTACTTTATTCAAGTGCAATAAAATTAAAATATTAAGTATGTTACCTGCATATCACTGGCCTTGAAATTAGGATTGCTGTTCAAATCTAGCTAAATGATTTAGCTTCATGGCGTTGACATTTCCCCCTAATGTCGAGTTTTTGTTTTGCTTGAAAGTGTGTGGTTAGCACTGCCTACCTGAAAGGTTATTCTAAGAATTAATAAGAAAATGTGTGGGAAGGTGCCTTGTACCTGGTGGTGTGCAATGGATATCAGTCTGTCTTAATTGAAGTTCATCTTTTTCTTTTCATGTTTTTTTTCTTTTCATGTTAAATATAAAACTTCTCTTTAGGTCAATGCCCTGCTGCCCACAGAGACATTCATTCCTGTCATCAGAGGGCTGGTGGGCAATCCCCTGCCATCTGTTCGCCGGAAAGCACTGGACCTTTTGAATAACAAGCTACAGCAGAATATATCCTGGAAGAAGACAGTAGTGAGTGAAGACCCGGGACATACCTATTTTCTAGACTTCACTTTATCAAAGAGCTGCATTTGACTCCCTTCAATTTCTCCAGTGTTACAGTTTAAAATTGAAGTATATTATTGTTATCTGAATGTAATACCATGACGTGTTTTACAATGTGATGTTAATTGTAACGGGAGTTATTTGTGTTATAAGAGTGCTTCAAATGGAATTTCAGCCTAGTGGAATTCTTACTTACTATGGAGCTTACGTGGCCTTGGCCTTAGCATAATTCTAAGTCCCTTTTACTCCAAATCAGTAGGTTCTTTGTGTAAGTGAAAAGCTAGTTAGAACATGCATTTTGCTTAACGTGACTATGGCTTAGGACCCCCTAGTCTGATTTCCATTTAGACAATCTCAAGCCATGACAATGGGAAAATAGACAAGCTTTTTTTGCAGCTTTAATGATTGGGGGATTGTGGCTGTCCCCTTCAGGTTAACCGTTTCCTGAAACTGGTTCCAGACCTTTTGGCCATTGTGCAGCATAAGAAAAAGGAAGGGGAAGAAGAACAAGCCATCAACAGACAGACGGCGTTGTATGCCTTAAAGCTTTTATGCAAGAATTTTGGTGCAGAAAATCCAGATCCCTTTGTCCCAGTGCTGAGCACTGCCGTGACACTTATTGCTCCAGAGAGAAAGGAGGAGAAGAATGTCTTGGGAAGTGCACTGCTATGCATAGCAGAGGTGGCCTCCACCCTGGAAGCACTGGCCATCCCTCAGCTTCCCAGGTATGTGGCTGGAGACTTGGAACAGGAGCTGTTACTGTCTGGAACACATTGAAAAATGACACCTTGGGGTCTTTTTTCTTTTTCCTCTGAGCAGAAGTTGCATACAATTGGATTTGTTAAAGAATTGATCCTGCAGGGTGTGGTGGCTTACGGCTGTGATCCCAGCACTTTGGGAGGCCGAGGCAGGGGGATTGTTTGAGCTCAGGAGTTCGAGGCTGCAGTGAGCTATGATTGCACCACTGCACTGTAGCCTGGGCAACAGAGCGAGACCCTGTCTCTTAAAAAAAATAATATTTGAATGGAAAGGCACAGCCTTCCTTTTTATCTTCAGATGCACTGCTTTGTGATGTTAATTGTCCCCCATTCTTCCTTTTGTCTAGTACAGTCAAAAAGCAGTGGGTGAAGGTCCTTGGTAGAGGGGCCCATCCAGGTGGACAAGGCCAAAGCTGCTGTCTGCTGCCAAATACGGAAGTTCGAAGCTCCTGGCTGTGGTTGTTCCTTCCCACGCAGCCAGTAGGTTCCTTAACCTGTTAGAGCTTTGCTGCTTGTAAAAGAGAGAGAGTGTCTACCTCAAAGGATTTCTGTAGGGCAGTGCTTGCAAGGAGTTTTGTGTAGTGCCTGACACATAGTAAGTGTTCAATTAATGAAAGACATTATTTTTTAAATTACTGTTGTGTCCGCACTGTTGGCACCGGGAGATTTCTTGTGCTTAGTCACATGAAATGTGTAGACGGCACTTTTTAGGCTATGAGGCATATAGTGATGTAATAAACATAGTTTGTTGTTTTTTTTTTCCTAATGCCCTTCATTCCCTAGTCTCCATTTCTGCTTGAAGTTCCTCTGGTTTAGCTCTTACTCTGTTTCTAGCCTGATGCCATCGTTGCTGACAACAATGAAGAACACCAGTGACCTGGTCTCCAGCGAGGTCTATCTGCTCAGTGCCTTGGCTGCCCTGCAGAAGGTGGTAGAGACTCTCCCGCACTTCATCAGCCCCTACCTGGAAGGTATTCTCTCCCAGGTGAGCCATGGTGACCATGACATGCTACGTGGGGTGACTGGGGAAAGTCAAAGATAACGAATTCAGTGGTTTTGTTTTTTAAGTATTAGCTTGTGTTCGCCTGAAAGGAGTCTTATTTCTGAAAAAATGTGCTCGCTTTTATTAAATGTGTACTTTTTCTCTTCCGTCATCCTTGCCACTTAATCTTGAAATCAATATGGGGTCACTTTTTAGTGAGGTGCTTCACTTCTTTAATTGTGCAGAATGTATTCTGGATTTTTTTTTCTTCTGTGAGACTTCTGGAGTTGGGCTGGTAGAGCTGCCTTTTATTACTTGTGGAAATTAGTGTGCCCTGTTTCTAATGTGAGAGGTTTAATCCTAAGGCATCTTGCAAGGCAGAATTTTTATATTTCTGGTCAGCAATTTCCTGTCAACACGGTAGGTGCCAGTGGTGTTTCTGATCGAAAATGTTCAAGAATGTTGAGCCCTGGCTATTTCATTGTGTTGATCATTTGCCATTTACAAGATTAGAGGCCTTCATTACAATGGGCAGACGATTAAACCGGTTCACATATGCCACAGCCAGGGCTTCAAAGTAGCCTTCTCACAGAAAGAAGCCTGTGCTCTCAGGAGCTTTCTCGGTTTTTTAGCAAGGAAGAACGTGACTCTTGCTGTGTTCCCTTGCATTCCTCTCCTCCAAGAAAATCATCCGTCTGGGTGCTTCTGCATCTGCCATTGGTCTTCGTCCCTGATTGCAAGTTGGGCAAGAGGTATCTGCCCAGTTTTATCCACTGATATTTAGGGTTGACTTTAGAAGGGATTCCGTGTGTAGTTAAAAGCTGCTAAGCATTTCCCAAACACTAGCACGTCATCATGAAGGCTTTCTGTAAGTGTGTGTTTGTCAGTGAGGATCTGCAGTGGCCCTGATCACTGTTTTTTAAATATTCCTGCAGGTGATTCATTTGGAGAAAATCACTAGCGAAATGGGTTCCGCCTCACAGGCCAATATCCGCCTCACATCTCTTAAAAAGACACTGGCTACCACACTTGCACCCCGAGTCCTGTTGCCCGCCGTCAAAAAAACTTACAAGCAGATTGAGAAGAGCTGGAAGGTTAGATTCATACTGAGTATTAAGACTTTGGAGAAGGGAGAGGTGGTACTGAAATGTGTAAACTTTCACTTAGAGAAGAATATGGTTATTTAATTTTTTAAAACACACATTGCCGAACTCTAGGAGTAATTTGAAAATGGCACATCTCTTTACTGTGTTATTGGTAGAATCACATGGGTCCATTTATGAGCATCTTGCAAGAGCATATTGGGGTGATGAAGAAGGAAGAGCTCACCTCCCATCAGTCTCAGCTAACCACATTTTTCCTGGAGGCCCTGGACTTCCGAGCACAGCACTCTGAGGTGAGCTTAGGTTCAGTCCTCCAAATCCTAAAGTTGTTATCTCCCTATTTAAGAGTCCGAGAATTATCTAGCTGTGTAAACAGTTGTACTTGCCAAAATAATTTACAGTTAGATAGCAGTACTCTTAATAGATGGACTCTTCTGTTTTCAGGACGATCTGGAGGAAATTGGAAAAACAGAAAATTGTATCATCGACTGTCTAGTAGCCATGGTTGTGAAACTTTCCGAGGTCACATTCAGACCCCTGTTCTTCAAGGTGAGGCTTTCTTCCTCTTGCTCTCTTTTGTGCTCAGATTTCAGTGACAAGATGTCGAAGAAACTAATATTCCTATCTTACCCTTTCAGCTGTTTGATTGGGCTAAAACTGAAGATGCCCCAAAGGACAGGCTGCTGACATTTTACAACTTGGCAGATTGCATTGCTGAAAAGCTGAAAGGGCTTTTTACTCTGTTTGCCGGCCACTTGGTGAAGCCTTTTGCTGACACCTTGAACCAGGTGAACATCTCCAAAACAGGTGGGTAGTTGCTTCAGTTAAGTTGTCACTTTTTGCTCTGTGTACCTTATACAAGATACCAGTAAGATACAACCTAGTGCTCAGAGACAAGATTTTAAAGGTTCTTACGTTCTAAGCAAGGAGGGTGAATTTTTTACTTCATTGTTGTCAGACAGTGAAGTGTTATTTTAGCATGATGAAAAAATGTTGTAAGTCGACTCACTCGGGAGAAAGAATAAAGTAAATGGGCATTACTGTCAGTTACTGGGAGTGACTTTAAAACCTAAAAATCAAGATTATTCTCTACTGCTAATACATGACCCACTTGACTTTGGAAGGAATTTAACTTGCCAAACTGAGTGTTAGAATCTTAACTCTAAAAGAAGGAATCATTTTTCAAGAGGCCACCCATTTTGTGTTCTACCTTCATCCTGATTAGGATTTCTAGATTATTTAGACTCATGATTATAGTTATTGTAATAGTGATTTCAGTGTAGACATTGGAGATTAAATCAATTCAGTGTTTTTCATTTTGCGTTTCCCACATCTACAGATGAAGCATTTTTTGACTCTGAAAAAGACCCTGAAAAGTGCTGCTTGCTGTTGCAGTTTGTTTTGAACTGTTTATACAAAATCTTCCTTTTTGATACCCAGCATTTTATAAGTAAAGAGAGAGCAGAAGCCTTGATGATGCCTCTGGTGGATCAGGTAACGAAACAGAATCATCTTTTATTACTGAGGAAGCCATCACTGTTTGATCTTGGCAGGTTTTATATCTGCTCAAAATGATAGCTTTCTAGGCTTTTTTCTTTGTAAGGTTTTTTTATTTTTTGCTCTTTTAAATGAAATTTTTTATTTGAAAATTGTTTTTTCAAAGATACAACTTCATTGTGGAATTTGAGTTTTTTTGTTTTGTTTTTTTTGAGACAGGGCCTTGCTCTGTTGCCCAGGCTGGAGTACCGTGGCACGATCTCCGCTCACTGCAACCTCCACCCCCCAGGTTCAAGCAGTTCTTGTGCCTCAGCCTCCCAAATAGCTGGGATTACAGCCTACCTCCACACGTAGCCATTTTTTGTATTTTTAGTAGGGATGGGGTTTTGCCGTGTTGGCCAGGCTGGTCTCGAGCTCCTGACCTCAAGTGATCCGCCCACCTTAGCCTCCCAAAGTGCTGGGATTACAGGCATGAGCCACCGTGCCTGGTCTTGAGTTGTTGTTTTTTTGTTTTGTTTTCTTCTTTAACTGCTCAAAAGAAAGACATGGTATAAGGTGTCATGGTTTACTTATTAATTTGTTTTAACTGGGCCTCATTGCCTCAGAGCATGGCTGCCCTCTGGAGGAAAGAAACCCTCCAAGATGTTCTGCTGGAGAAAACGGGGTGATGGTAAAGGGCATGAGATTCCGTTTGAGTTCCAGAAGGCAATAAATTGGCCCTAGAAAGTATTAGAATAATGCCTGGGTTTTGAACCTGCTAATGCCATGAAAGATAGTAAAATACTTATATGTTGGGTATTTTTTCAAACAGAAGAAAAGAAAAATGAGACCTGTTGTTCAAAGTCTTTGTCTTATTCTTCATAGCTGGAAAACAGGCTTGGGGGAGACGAGAAATTCCAGGAACGGGTGACAAAGCACCTGATCCCTTGCATCGCACAGTTTTCAGTGGCCATGGCGGATGACTCTCTTTGGAAACCACTGAACTACCAGATTCTGCTAAAGACGAGAGACTCCTCGCCTAAGGTTAGAAACTGGGTCACAAGTATGGAAACTGCACGTTTTCATTGCATAGCCTAAACAGCCTGCAGGTGGTCATGGATGTAGGCCCCTGGTAAACTGGCAGGGAAGAACATTGCTATTTGTCGTCCAGCACTAGAGGTCCAGTCTTTTGTATCAGGCAGAAGTTTGAGCCTGAGAAAATTTTGGATTTTACTTAGAGGCTATTTGTAAAGAATAGCAGTGCCCTGTTCCCACCCCAATGGTGCTTGGATACAAGTACTAAAATACCTTCTAAATACTTAAAGTAACAATTTGAAGTAATTCCTTGTTTTAAAAGTGCCATTGAAATGTCATTGTGCTCCAGAGATAAATGCATTGAATTTGTCCACAGAATAATAATAGTCTTTTGAGTTAGAGCAGTATATTCTCTTGTTTGTAAATACGGGGCCTGTGATCTTGTTGAATTAGTGGTAGCAGCAGAAATGAAACATGGGTAGGTTGAGTGGAAATCAAAATTCCACACCCAGGTGTCACAAATTTCAAACTGTTGTAGCAATGATTTGCCATTTCTCAAACTAATGATTATGTTAGAACCTTACTGGATATAACAGACCAAGGCAGAATTTCATTAGTAGGATTTATTAGTTCAAATTCTTTATTAGGATATGCTAACAATGAGACTATTTTGATGAACCCCCACATCGTAAACCATAGGTTTTTATACAAGTAGCAGCGTCGAATTTATTGTAATATTTTACTTTGATTGCACAAATCAAGGAAATCCTGATCGAATCTAGGTAGTTACAAATGGTTTTTGAATCATTCACTTGGTACTATCCAGACAGTCTTTAATGAAAATATCCAAAATTAGAAAGAAGACCAGTCGGGCTTTTGTTTCAAAAGCTAACAATACCCAGCTATTGCTTGCTGTCCTTATCACAGACAAGGCATGTGAGAAACACTGACTTCTTTAATGCCCAAAACTAGGATTTTGTGACATAGAATGTGTTTTCATCAGTGCCGAGATGGGAGCTTACCCCAAGCGAGTGTCCTGGCCTCTCATACAACTATAGTGGTGACCAGTCAGGGGCTGTGGGTAGGGAAACCTGCCAGAGGTGGCTGGAGGTACTTCATTGCCAGCTTGGTGGGCTGGTGAGCTCCAGTGAAGTAAAATTTGGTGACACGCTTGAGTTTGCCTGTGGCATTTTATTTTGTTTTATTTTATTTTATTCTAAAGGAAGAGGTTATAAAAAGACATTTCACATCAAAGATTTGCAGTGGTGGGACACAGTTTGGAAAACACTGATTTAAATAAACTGGTATCCTAAGATGAAAGGTGAATGAACATAATGAACAGAATAAACGCATGTGAACTAACGTTTAGTTTAAAAACTTAGAGCTTATCTCAAGTCAGTACAGCTCTTAAAATAATAAATATACTAACACTGCTTTCTCATTCTTTACTCCTTTATCCCTTTCAGGTTCGATTTGCTGCTCTGATTACTGTGTTAGCACTGGCTGAAAAACTAAAGGAGAATTACATCGTCTTGCTGCCGGAGTCCATTCCTTTCTTAGCAGAGTTGATGGAAGGTAATTCCCAAACTATTAAACAATTAAGGAATAAATCAGAAAACTTATGTGAAAATGTGCCCAGTGATAATGCAGATTTAGATACAACGTGACTAGCAGTTGCTCCCATCCTCCTACAGGCGGCTCCACTCTCAAAAACAGGCAGGCTGGAGCTCCTGTTTTGAGTTGGGTGGAGGGAGTGAGTTGAGACGTGACCACCTCGTGATCATTTGAGTCTGTTTGCAGTGTAATCTTCACTATCTTTACTTTTGTGGTGTTTTGTGATCATACAAGCAGATTACAATAGTGTTTTTAATTAACTTCATACATTTATATGATTGAAGTTTTGGTCCCCAGATGGGAGGTTATTGTATGGAAATACCTAGTGGCATTAAGGGTGCAGTAGGATGTCCACTTCTAGTAACAACCAACGTTCATTCACTACTCCATGATAGGTGCTTTACATGGATTATTTCACTTAAAAATCACAACATTTTGTCTCTGTTTTACAAAGGAAGAAACTAGAGGCTTAAAAGGTTTCAATGATTTGACAAAGATAACAAGCTAGTGAGTGTGACACGGGGAGCTATGACAGTTCTGGAACATAGTCTTAGGCCCAGGAAAGAACATGGCAGGGGCGGTGGAGCAAGTAGATCAGTGCTTCACTGATTCATCGCTTAGCTAGGCCAAAAAAGTGCATTCTCCTTTGTTTCTTAGCTCCTGGAGGGGGGAAGTGTGAGCTACTAAAGGGGTGGTATCCCTAGGAAGTTTGAGTTTTTGGGGTTCTTATTCAGCTTCCAGTGCAAGTCTCTGAGAATGAAATGAAGGTGGAAGGAACAGTGTAGAGGGAGGTGGTCTGCGGCGCTTCCTGCTTTGTTAATGTGCCTCATCTGTGTTTGAATGATTGCCAGAGAATGCCAGACATTAAGAATTAAACTAATGAGAAATGAGGCAGGTGAACTGACTTGATTTCAATTTTGATTTTTTTTTAGATGAATGTGAAGAAGTAGAACATCAGTGCCAAAAGACTATTCAACAGCTGGAAACTGTGCTGGGGGAGCCGCTCCAGAGCTACTTCTAAGACTGTGGTGTTTCATACTCTACTCAGAGTTCAGATTTATTTTTCATATTTTTATTTTTGGGTGTTGGGGTGCCCTATTACTTTTGGTGCCTTAATACACCTACTTGGACTACTTAAAATATTTTATTGTATCTTTACAAAATTCCCACCTGGGTTGTGCCACCAGGTGGCACATAAGCCTCTCCTGCCAACTGTACAGAGCTGCCCAAAGAGTAAACGACACGTGGTCTTTTTATACAGACTGCTGTTTCACATTTATTCTCTTCCTGATTGATGTTAATAATATTAGACCTGTTTACTTTTAGTACCCAAAGCTGACGGCTCATTTGCACTGTAAGCCTTAACTCTTCTGTATAGCAGTGTCTTATATACATGGTATCTGTGTTGCAGATTTCACTCAAGAGTTGCTCTCTAATTCCAGAAAATGACAGTAATTTAGCAATCAACAAATACTTTTCACTGTAAAGCCTACTTTTCATTTTGGGTAGGCGAACTTCAGCCTTAATTTCTTTGTGTGTGCCTATGGAGAAGTGGTTCTGGAATGCTTTTTAACCCAGGAGTGTGATTGTCACCTTTATCTTTTACTCTGAGGAAACGGGAGAGATGGAGGCAATATGCTGCTTCCAAAAGAGCTCACAACTGGCTGCTCACAGACAGGGCCCAGAAACACTAGGCATGAGGAAGCTCCTCCAGGATTAAGAATGGCCCCAGTTCCATTGGTGGTTAACTGAGAATTACTTGTCTAAGAAAGGAAGTATCGCTAGATTTTTTGCAATGCTTTGAAGTGCCCTAGTCTCTAGTACTGGGTCATGGTAAAGTTGGAAAGTGAAGGCTGAGATACAATTAGATCTTCCCCTTTTTTAAAGGGCATCTAAGAACAATCCTGTAGAATGTTTGCATTGAGTTTAAAAGCCTTTGGAACTAATATAGAAGTTTAATGCAGAATTGTGACAAGCAAAAGGCTTAGTTTAGGGATAGAGCTTTCTAGTATAGAAGTGCATATTTCTAAGAAATGTCTCATTAAAATGCATTAATAAATACCACTTTTTAAATTTTTTTTACTCCACATAAAATTAAAATGAACTTAAGATTTACAAGGAATGATGTGAGTGGGCTATTTTTTTCCTAAATGTCTCACAGTCTCCAACAGCTCAGTCAAGCACTCTGATGTTCTTTATGAAGAAAAAGAACTCCTGGGGCATTCTGGAGCCTTCTTGCCTTCTACAGCTTTCCCTATGGCTCCCTCCACCCCCAACCAGTGTCTTTGAGCTTGGTGAGAGTCTGCATAAATAACATGAAAAGCTGGAAAAGAATTAAGGGCTAGCATTTTCTACACTGAGTACTTTTTTAAAAATAAGACTGACGATGGTATTCTTTTCAATATTTGGATAGAAATAGTATCTAACTAAAATCTGTTCTGAAAAGATTCCTAAGTCCTGGCAGAGTTCCGCCCCACAGTTTAATGTGATAAAATGATCCTCACTGACTGAGCTTTTTTCCCTCCCCACTTCCAAACCTTTGAAATTTCCTGTAACAAGATCTGACCTGTAAAGATCCCATATACATGGAACTTCTGCCAAGTCGCCTCAAATAATAGAAAAATTACAGAAATGCAACAATTTAACTTGATACAGGTTTGACTTTAATCACTTAAAGCAGAAGAGTGCTTTGATCTCAGGTGCTAATGCTGGACTAATCTTTAGAAGAACGGAGGCCTGAGTGGTGATTTACATGGGAACAAAACAGATTTTTGTATTACCTCTGCCTGCTGTGTGGGTCTGTTAGTTGGTGTACACTTTCGATAGTGCCTGCCTTATGAATCCCTCAAGTCTAATTCTGACCTTACTTTACTATCCATGACTATCTTTCAAATTGAATGCATCTTGCCTCTTCCTTAAACTTCCTATAGGAGTCTGTGTAGACTCTGATTCACCCTAAGTTCAGATACAAAGAAATCAGCTGCCTTGGGTTTGACATCAATGGTTAATTTCAGCACCATTTATTTTTTTTGTTTTGCTTTGGGTTTTTTGCCTTAATTTCCATGCTGTGTTCAGATGTCATATTATTTGGTAAAGCTTGCAGCTAATAGAGCTAAATGTTTATTATGCTAAACAAAACGAATCGATGTAAGTCAACATCAGTCCTCGCAGTTACGGGGTATGCTGGAGCACTGCTTATGAGTGAGCACTAGGGAAGGGGTAGTGTCTTCTATAAATTAGTGTCTTCAGGTGATTTAACAGCTGCATCACTAATCCCAGAGGGCCCCTTAGGAGTTGATGCAATACCTGTAGAAGCAGTGCACAGCGGTAAAGCATGGAAGAGTCGAAGCTCAAGACAACAGGGAACATACTGGTTTGTTTCACCACCAATTATTAATCCCATCTCCTTGCACAGTTTTAACCAATAAATCTGTGCTCAATACATGTTAGCTACTGTATTATAGTAAGTACTCCATACATACTTGTTGAATGTGATTCTTAGAGTCAAAGTAGGAGAGAGGGTAGAGTGGCTTTAACTGGCTATCAATGCTACTGCCCCCAATTTCCCCATTCAGTGCAAGACACTGCCATACTTCATGGCAAGGACTGAGAACACCCAGCAGGACCTAACGGTACACAAGCTTATTTTAACAATATAAACAATAGAGTGACTGAGATGCGTTTTGACAAGGCCAGTATCACAGAAGCCATTCTGTATTTCAGTTTTTGTAGCATTCTGTATTTTGTGTAGGTAGGCTACCAGCTCCTTACTTCCAGTAAGTGGATGTCTCCATTAATCTCCAGTGTGTCAATACTGCTAAGCTCTTTAAATCTGTGTTTGTACTCCAGGCTGTGTACACCATTTACTGCAACCTTGAATTCTTTAACATCACAATAAATTATCATCTGAAAGGAAAGGAAACAAGCCATTAGTGGTTCCCCTTAGTTTAAAATGTTGTGTTTGTTGCACACTAATAGGGTGTCAGAGTAAACTATTTGATTTGCTTTATACATAGAAAAGTTCTAGCCTGCTGCTGCTGACTTCCCTTCTGTGACTCTTAAGACCCTAATCTAACTAAAGTATCCCTGGTGGTGGTACTGTCTGCCTCATCCCACCCAGGGAAGTTACTCGGACATGTTTGGAGCCTCACATGTCCCCAGGGCTTTTGGCCCTCCTTTCCTCAGGACAGGCCCTGCTTCCTGAGCCAGGATATCTTGTCCCTTGCTCCTGGAAAGGTGGAGTGCTGCCCCTCCTCACCGATGCTGGGGACTCTCCTAAAGTGGGAAAACTTACACTGTCACTCTAGTTCACTAAGATGCTGATTCCAGCTAGTAGACTGGAACCAAGGGACATGGATCCTGACTCTTCTGCCTCAAACTCTAGGACCGTGAACAAACCAGACAATTAATATGAAATTTCAGCAGCTTAAGGCACTTGCTAGGGTTTTTACAGGTGCTTGGTAACCCTGATTCCATCCCAGCTCAGCACATCTTGGCCTCAGTGTGTTTCCCCAAAGTCCTCAAAGCCGGGTACCCTGAGTCAGCAGGGATGCACATTCTGGCAGAGGCAGTTCAAATTCATCACTAGTCTTTGCCCTTGACAGTTATCTGTGCCCAAAACTCAAACAATGAAAACTCAGAAAACCTACTAGCCTTTTACATCATCTTTATACCTAAACTTCATACTTCTGGTGCACACTGCCACTGCCAGGCTGGGTTTCCACCCACAATGAGGACGACACCGGGAAGTCCTGCACTGAGCTCTCCCTGTGCTCCTCGCCCACATGAAGGCTTCAGAAGAAAGAGGGGAAGCTCAACCTTGCTGCTAACCTGGCCCCACTCCAGAGGCCAGACTGAAGCACAAAACCTGAATCTGCAAAGCAGCAAGTTGAGGTCTTCATTCTTTTGATAGGAGCAGTGGAAAGGGCTGTCAAGGAAAATGAGGAAGAGAAGGAAATTTCAGTTGAGTCCTGCACTCTGATAACAGAGCTGGCCAAAACGAAGCTTCTATGGCTACAGAGGATTGGGGAAGTATGTGTAACCTGAGATTCTATCCCCACAAGAATGGTGGGAATCCCAGTTCTAACCAGGTAGAAGGGACTTGGAAATATTTCACAAAATCTCAGGAAAACACAAAACACACAGCCTCATGCTGTAGCTCAGAAGGAAAACCAAGTTGGCAGCAGAGGGAGTCAAAGCCTGGACTACATCAGAGCAAGTGCAGAGCCAATGGGTTACAACCAAGTGGCAAGGAAATGACATGCCTCTGGGTGAGCAGACTACTGCAAATGGAAAGAAAGCACATCATTTGCAAGACCCCCAGCCTAGAGGAAAACAGAAAACAGAATCCCTCACAACCATCTGATGCTGTCGAACAGCTGGGGAGAACATGGATTTCATCCAGAAGAGCCCACAGATGAAATGACAACAATGAATGAGATTAAAAAAAAAAAAAAAAAAAAAAATAAAAAACCCACAAAAAAAAAAAAAAAAAAAAAAAAAAAAAAAAAAAAAAAAAAAAAAAAAAAAAAAAAAAAAAAACACTGTAGATACAACTAAAGTGTGTTTGAAACAGCAAGAAGATTTAAAATGAAAGTAATGGCATAATGGAAAGCCCTGAGATAATCTCAGTGCAAGCATATTGGAAAAGCAAGAGATGGAAGCCCCTGGAAAGGACCTGTCAGTATAGAACGTTGTCAACAGTGATCAACATGAGGAAATTAACAAACGGAGAAGACAATGGTTCAGAAGCATGCAATATCCATCTATTCATTACTTCGGCCAGCCATCCTTCTCACGCTCTCTCTACAAAAGCATATTTGGAATGTGCTTCATCTAATCCTAATGGTGTGATTTGAATTATGAAGTTGGAGATATTTTCATCTTAGTTTTTTTCAGCATTACTTGAATGTATCATTATTGTCCTTTTTTATATTAATTGGTAGATCCAAACTTAGGGCCCAGATAGGTCAAAAACAAGTTTCATCATTAGTTTCCTGTCACCAAACACAGGGCTCAACTTCCTTCTGGAACACTCACCTCTATTTCCCTCCAGTGAACCCCAAGTCACCCTTTATGCCTTAACTCTTGCCAAGCCAACAACCTCGTGCTGCCCTTCCCACCTCTAAGGACTTGTTCACATCATGTCCTAAATCTAGAAAAGCAACCTTTAGTCCCCCACACCTTCCCAGCTTTCTGAATTCCAAACCAATATCCATAACTTCCAGAGAACCTTCCGTGCTTAGCCCACATCTGTCTACACTCCACATAACAGGGCACTGCATTAGACTGGAACTTAGGAATAAATATGAATGTCACATTGCCATCTATTCCACCTGATATTCATGCGATTAGTAATGGGTTTTGATGAGTCCTTAAGAACCCAAATGGTCCAGAGGATGTGGCAGTTTGAAATGCTGTAGAATTATAACCTAAGCAATGACCCTAAGTGACTGTGTGAGGCAGTGGCACCTGAGCTAGTGAGTGAGGCTGGCCAACCACCCAGTATCCACATCACAAGGAGGCTATTCTCTGTTCAGCATCCCAGAATCATATTTTGGGAAAGGTATGTTACAATAGTCACCTATCTGGGGACTCAGGACTAAATGCCTTTTAGTTCCAAGGGACTGATGCATTTTTCCTTGAATACATACAAACGGGACTAACTCCTTAGGAGAAAGGACTGCCACCTGAAACCATCTACTATGATGGGAGATGATGCCCAGTGCAAGCAGTTTTAGGGTCTTCATGTCCTCATGTCCACTTATACAATTAAATATGTGACTCCAGTCCTGAAACAAGGTTCCTGGTTAAATTCTTATTATCAATATGGGACTACACAGGAATTTTAACATGGTGACAAATGTCAATTTCAATGCATATAATGTGACACTCTGCTGGCTTTGCCATTTATACCAACTGACCACATTATAAAAGGGAGCAAGTTTCAATCTCCAAGTAAACAAAAAACATACACAACCTCCACACATTAGGTTAGGACTTGATTTAAAGGACCATTTATCCTACCCCTGCTCCCTGGATTCTTGTTCCTGTCCCATTTTCAAAAACTATAACCTCACCTCAAAGTACATCCCAGGACTAAATGGGAAACTGGTTATATTTCTTTCTTCTTCTCCCCAGGACTCCTGAAGAAAAGAATTTCTTACAAATGCTTTAATATTCAGGCGTGGGTTCAAGTGAAGAGCAATATCCTTTGATTTTCCTGCTAGTAGGTCAACATTAAAGCTTTTGAGAAAGAAAAAAAAAAAACACCTTAATTAACCAATTAGGGACAGAGTGGTGGCAGTTTCAGCAGAGTTAATGACCACACTTGAACTATGATTCCAACTCTATGAAACATATGTATCCACATGGACATGGAAACGCAGATGAAGTTAAAATTTTAAACTCCACTAATTCATTACTTGCAAAAAAAAAAAAAAAAAAAAAAAAAAAAAAAAAAAAAAAGAAAACAAAACAAACAAAAAAAAAAACCTTTAAAATCAGCATTGAGGCTGAGATGTGGTTGGACAGAAACTGAAGGCTTGACACTAGTTAACCCGAATGACGACTTCAGGCTGCAGGAGCCTGGGATCCTTCCAAGCAGGTATTCTCTTTCCATCATTTACACGTGTTCCTTCCTTCTTGGAAGTATGATACTTTCTAGGAAATAGCTCTAATTTCAAGCTTTCAGAAGTCTGGACATCACTGGACAAAGTTCTTAAGGCAGAAATTTTCTGAATCACATGACAAGAGGGGTCCCAAAAAATGTCTGGGCCGGGCACGGTGGCTCACTCCTGTAATCCCAGCACTTTGGGAGGCCGAGCTGGGCAGATCACTTGAGGTCAGGAGTTCGAGACTAGCCTGGCCAACATGGTAAAACCCCATCTCTACTAAAA